CTCATGCTGAGGTGGCATATAACAGTGCACAGCAGCACGGGATTTACCCCATTCAAAATAGTGTTCGGACATGATTTTGTACCCATCCCCGAGGTGCCACGAGAAAAACCAAAAACCATCATCAGGTTGGTATGCCGGACAGTTGGCCTTGGCGGGAAACTCCTCTTCCCGCTACATGCGCAGTAGATGGTGAGAATAACTCCCTTCTTACAGTCTCTCCTGTACAGAATATTTCCCACACCTAAATACCATGCTCCCTGTTTCAATGGCAGCCGAACAGCAAGCAGCAAAACAGAGGCTGACATCCATTTTTGTTCATTTGTTCTTTCTTTTCTTTTCTTTCTCTCTCTCTCTCTCTCTTTCCTTCCTTCCTTCCTTCCTTCCTTCCTTCCTTCCTTCCTTCCTTCCTTCCTTTTCTGTTCTGATGATAATTTAAAGCAAGATGCCAAGGAAAATTTCCCATTCAAACTGAGAAATGAAGACAGGTTCCTCTTCAGCTCAGCTGTCTCCCAACCACAGCACACTCTCACTCACAACGCGCCACTCACTTTTGCAGGACTTCCCATCGCTGCCAAGGCTGAATCCTGAACGGCACCGGCAGGTCCGCGTCTTGTGACTGTTTCCAAGAAGACAGATGTCAGAACAGCCTCCTGGTTTTCCAAACTGGTCCACTTCACAGGCATGGCTCCTCACTAATAACAAAGAACTCCCTGTCAGTTCATGTCAACAGGTATTTATTACAGTTTTATTCTGTTTGTGATATTTAAGATTGACAATGAGCAACAGGGACATGTAGAGACATCCTTCATGGTTATCCCATAATTATGCAACAGTAAAGAACTAATGCCTAGAGCTGAATTGTTGGAGATACGCTGGAACAAGGTCAACAGCTATGTGCATTTTAATTTATACATCTATTCATACTATGTTTTATTTATTTAGTGTCTTCAAGTCGGTGTTGACTGCTAGCAACTGTTTGCTTGGCAAGGTTTTTCGGAAGTGGTTTGCCTTGCTTGCTTCCTAGGGCTGAGAGTGATTGACCCAAAGTCACCCACTGGGCTTTATGTCAAAGGCATAAAAACAATCCATAACTCTCCTGGTTTCTAGCCTGATGCTTTAACCACTAGACCAAACTGGCACTCAGTTCAAATAATGCACGTTCTTCACAAATAACTCTTCCTGATTTCAACGTGAGTAATAATCACAGCACCTCCTTCTTGTTAACTAAAAGGCTTACAAGTTGCTGAAATATCTACCCAGCATACATCTATCTGGAATTTCAGAGCAAAGAGAAATCATGCTCTTGGGGGGTGGGGAAGGGGAGTCAAAGGCAGGGCAAATATTGGCCTGAGCAAGTGGGATATTTCTTGGGACTTATTTGTTTTCAATACAAATATTTGTACAAGTTTATCATAAACCATAAGCTCAGTGTTTAGAAACTGTGAACAAAACAGCCGGCAAATATACGTGCAATTAAAAAGTCAGCAAGCTTAAACTGTTTACGATTTTAGGATGAATAATTTGGGAGGGTGAGTGTGAGGGGGAGGGTGTGTATGTGTGTATGGAAGAGCAGGCTGCTTGAGAAAATCACAGGGATTTGAGCTGCCTTCTTTCCCTCCCATTTGAGTCTTTTTTCCCAGTGTCAGCAATAAAAGCAGCAATTCTGACACAGGTGTCAGAGGAGATGCTTGTTTTTGAGCTTTGCAGTCACAAGCAAACTGAGTACAGCAGCCAAAAGGAAAAAAAGTGTTTTCCCTTCAGAGGCAGCAGATAGCCCAAAAAAGTGAAGTATAGAAGTCCAGTAAGACAAAACACAATGCAAAAAAAGCCCTCAACATATTCATCACTGACCGAAAAAGAGAAAGAATTTCAGAGAGAAGGCTTAGGACAGAATAGGCTTAAGAAAGAAATGTTGATGCATACTAGTAATAGTATAAAGCACAGTGTATAGGTAATTGTACTGTGTTTCTTTGAAAATAAGACAAGCGTGGTCACCTCATGGCTGCTGCTGCTGTGTTGCAATTATTTTTACAGGAAGGACTTATTTTCAGGGGAGGGCTTATTTTAGTGCTTGCGCTTAACACCCAATTGGGCTTATTATCCGGGGAGGTCTTATTTTCAGGTAAACAGGGTAATGTAATATAACGTATTTTTCAGAGTATAAGACACATCTTTTTCCCTCTAAAAAGAGGCTGAAAATCTGGATGCGCCTTATACACTGAATACAACATTTTTTGCCTCCTGAAACCCCGCCCCTTCACCAAAATGGCTGTCCATAGCTTTTAGGAGGCTTCCAAGAGCTCCTGGGGGCTGGGGAGGGCAGAAATGAGCGAAAAATGGGCTGTTTTTGGCAGGCTTGCAGAGTGCAAAAACTTTTTTTTTAATTTGCCTCTTTAAAACCTTGGTGTGTCTTATACTCCGGTGCGTCTTATACTCTGAAAAATATGGTAGGTTATTGAATAGCAATATCATAGACTATTGCATAGAATAGGAGAAGGATGGCCAATTATTTTTTTCGAGGAGCCACATGAGAAACTGGCTGCCATCATCATAGAACTGACAGAGACAACGGAACAACTATGGCCCCTGGGCTGTAAAATGAAAAGGTCTGGTATAGATTATACAATATAGTTGATCCTTCTCTAACTTTCTCTTTTTCTAGAAGTAGTGCTAGAAGTCCCACAGAGCGTGGGGCCATATCAATGTTTCAAGGTTGCGATGAAATTCTCACAAGGTGTGAAGGAAGCTGGATTTCAGCTTTATTTCACAAAACATATTTTCAATATCATAGGCGTTTTAAAGAAATTGGAACACCTGCCTTGTTCCTTGTGGTGTAATGTCCTTCTTTGCAGCTGGGATTACAGAAATAAAGTTAAAGAACGAAGTGATTTAGTCTAGAGTCAACCAATATGAAGAGGGATGAAGCCTCACTTCGAGCAATAACCGAAGCGCTGACACAGTGTCCATGAAGGAAAGTACTTGTGTTATGGAATAGCCACTTATTATACCACTAAGTACTGAGAACTCTCATTTAAAAAAAACTTACTATAAAAGAGATATTTGAGTCTCTAAGAATCCCCTGACTAGAAATTACAAACCAATCTATTGAAGAATAAAGATTGTAAGTGGTGCAATATACTGTTCCAGGCAGATAAAGGATCTCCCGAACTTACAACAAAGTATTGAAGATGAAAACCGGGTTTCTGGCACAAAGATTAGGTACAGTGTAGTGCATTTTTTCCTCCTAACCAAACAAAGAAATAACTGACAGAATTAACATGTGTGGTGCACAATTTGGCGTGTAAGTGTTTTAAAAAATACATTTGCTTTCTGACATTCAAAGTATTTGTGTAGGTAAACATGAATATACTGTATAAACGGGTACCACTGAGTATGAAAGAATATGACTGAACTAAAGCCACATGGGATCTTGTGGCAGTGGAGACATTGGGACCAGAAATTTCTGGTTTGTTCCTCACTTTCTTAATCATGACCTGAAAGGGAAAAGCCATGGAAAAATGTGAATAAACCCCTTAGTTCTATGCCTCACATCATGTAGAAAACATGTTTGCATATCTCAGAGCATCTCAAAAACAGAAACTTCCATATACTTTTGATGTGCAATAAGTTGCTTTGATTCACCTACTAGGCTGAAGTAGATAATAAGTTATCATGGTTCACCTGCAATGAATACCTTCCTCAAACTTAAATACCTAGAAGATGAGTTGTTAGAATATTGTTAGATAATTTTTGAAATGGTTTGACGGTGAACTTTCTAGTTCCAGAGATTTGGTTCTAGAAAGTTGCCAAACCAACCCAAGATCAGACAGACTGGCAGGTTCTGCAGGATGAACACAATGTTCTTCCTGGAATTTCCTGCAAAATTTTCTCCTCAGAATGGAACTATTTGCACATGCCTAGGAAATTCTCACAAAGCTCAGCTCCCATTGAACTTATACAAGAATGATGCAAAATAGCCTTTCCAAATCCCAGTTAAACAAAAGTCCTCAAGAATATTTGCTGCAACACTTTCCTTAAAGGCCGAAAGAAAAATTGAGACTTGCTATCTTAAACGTTAGCAGAGATTAAATGCAAGTTTATTCTGATTGTTGTTCTATTTTTCTTCTCCGGTCAAGATTCCTAGAAAATGTAAGGAATAAAGCTGGTGAGGCAGGAACCCAAATTTCCCAGAGGAGGCAGAATCATTATGCAAACACTGAGTGGTTACATCCCAGTTTCAAGGTCAGAAAGAGAGCAACCAAATTTCCATTGACTCAAAAGGTGGTTACTGTGTATTCCAAATAGAATATTTTCTATCTGCACATCATTCTTTCGTATCCATAGTGAAATAATTAAACTAGCTGTGTCACTGTGCCATGAAAAAGAGCCGAGGTGGCCCAGTGGTTAGGGTGCAGTACTGCAGGCCACTTCAGCTGACTGTTATCTGCAGTTC